CCCAAGGCCCTGTACCCAGGGACACTCAGGGACACACAGAGACAGCCAGGGACAGACAGGGGGACACAGGGACAGACAAGGACACAATAGAACACCCAGGGTTGAGGCTTCCCTCAGCTGGGGCTCCTCTCCAGGCTGAGCAGCCCCAGCTCCCTCAGCCTTTCCTGGGCATGGAGATGCTCCAGCCCTTCCTCATCCTCACATCCCTCCTCTGGACCAGATCCAGGAGCTCCAGGTCCCTCCTGTCCTGCTGATCCCAGAGCTGGACACAGGATCCCCAAGGATGAAACTCCACAAACCCTGAACCACCTGGGCTGTGAGGTGTGAGGCCCATTAAGAGCTGAGATCCCAGAAACCTCCCCCATTCCTGTCATCCCAGCTAAAAATGATCTTCCCACCCCAAAATCCACATTGTGCCAACCTCCAGGCTCCCGACCTCGTGCAGAACTTCCTGTGTGACACAACCCAACTCCTGCTTCCATTCAAAGCTCTGGGAAGCCTCAGAGAAAACCAACAAGCCAACATCCTCACATCCCTCCCCTGGATCATATCCAGGAGCTCCAGGTCCCTCCTCTCCTTTTAGGGAAGCTGAACCAGGAAAGCCTTATCAATATGATTGTCTGCCAAAAGATTTTGAGAATATAGAAACTATAAGTGACATTGAAATGAAAGCAATTTGAGATCCCTCAGTTACTGAACAACTGTAAAACAATGGTGTGGCCAGCTGAAGGTGATCCCCTTTTGATGGAACAACACCCTCTGCTTGCAGACAGGCCCAAGGGTCAGAGCAGACCCTACAACTTGGCAGATGGGGCCCAAAGAGGAGTTTTTAGGGTTTAAAATGTAACACAGTGTGGTAATGTAATGATTCTTATAGGCTATGTGTAAATGCTATAGGATTTGTGTCTTGTACTGGATTGGTTAGTGAGAATTAGAATATTCAGCACAGAAGAAGATTTATTGTATTGTAAGAGGAACCCCGCCCTCTTATCCTCTCTTTTACTCTCTCATCCTCTCTGCCCCTCTCTTCTCTCAGGCCTGCTCTGAGCTGTGGCTGGCAGCTCCCAGCAGGGCCCTGCACCCAGGCCCTGTGCAATGAACCCCAAATCCCAGCAGGGCCCCGCACCCAGGCCCTGTGCAATGAACCCCAAATCCCAGCAGGGCCCCGCACCCAGGCCCTGTGCAATGAACCCCAAATCCCAGCAGGGCCCTGCACCCAGGCCCTTTGCAATGAACCCCAAATCCCAGCAGGGCCCTGCACCCAGGCCCTTTGCAATAAACCCCAAATCCCAGCAGGGCCCTGCACCCAGGCCCTTTGCAATAAACCCCAAATCCCAGCAGGGCCCTGCACCCAGGCCCTGTGCAATAAACCCCAAATCCCAGCAGGGCCCTGCACCCAGGCCCTGTGCAATAAACCCCAAATCCCAGCAGGGCCCTGCACCCAGGCCCTGTGCAATAAACCCCAAATCCCAGCAGGGCCCTGCACCCAGGCCCTGTGCAATAAACCACAAGTTCCATGACCTGGCTGCAGAGATCTCTGATCTCCGTCCTTCCTGACTGTCCTACCCCCTGGCACTCCTACACTCTCCCAAGATCCAGAGCCAAGGGATCTGGGGACAAGGGACATTTCCATTTTCCACATAACTCCCACACTTACAGAAGCCACCTCTGCTTTCCCTGCACTCCAAACCACATCCCTGCTTCCCGAAGTTTACAAGGGAAGCTCTCAGTGTTATGCTGTTGAATTTGCAGCCTCTCCATTCCCGGGGTTGTTTTCACAGGGATTTGGGATAATGCAGCTCTTCAGGAGCCTCATTATTGCCCCAAAGGTGCCGGTGTTGTTCAAGTGCCCCTCCTGTGACAAGTGGCTCATTATGGCTCCTCTCAGTCCCCCCCAGAGATCCCATTACATCCAACAGCAGTGGGAGTGGGAAGAGGATAATTTGCATCCAGCATGAGCTTTTCCCATTATTCCCACTTCTCAGGAACAAGGAAAACAAATCATCTTGACCGCTGCTCCCTTTTTATTCCTGCTGCAGTTCCTTTTTGCCAGCAGTGGTTTTGCTTTGCTCCCTCTCCTTGGAATATTGCTGTTTGCTCCACCACTCCAGGCTAATTCCAGGTCCTCCTTCCCCAGGCAATTGGGAAAAATATCTTAGCTAAAAGGGCTTTTTATGCTTGGGAAAAAAAAGCGTGGTTGGAGAGAAAAGCTGGATCAATAGGTGCCGTGTTGCTGTTTATTCCCAGGATTTTGCCTTTGTTCCTTTGCATTTGGGGGGCTTTCAAGGCATTTTTTCCTCCTCTTCTCACGGCTTTTCTGCTGATGGAAATTGTCCCATTTGGAATTTGAAATGCCTCTCATCCCTCTCTATTTCCACCTTCAGGGATAGTTTTGAGGAGAAAATCCCTAAGTTCAGTGTTTGTTTTGTCACAAACTCCTGAAATCAAAGTTGAGGGAAGGGAGTAATGAATCCATATCCCTCCCATATTCCATGTGACAAGCAGGCCATGTTTTCCCAGGTTTTTCCAGCCCTTTCTCAATTATTCCCACTGCCGAATCCCTGCAGAAGCACATATGGAAGTAGAAAGCTCTCAAGGCCTTGGATCCTGGGAATGAGGGGTTGGATCTCAGCCACCGGATTTTGGGAATGAGGGGCTGGCTGCAGTTGGATCTCAGCCTTTGGATCACATGAATGAGGGGCTGGATCCAGTTGAATCTCAACCCCTGGATCCTGGAAATGAGGGGTTGGATCTCAGCCACTGGATCCTGGGAATGAGGTGTGGCTGCAGTTGGATCTCAGTCTTTGGATCCTGAGAATGAAGGGATGGCTGCAGTTGGATCTCAGCCTTTGGATCCGAGGAATGAGGGGTGGCTCCAGCTGGAACCCTTGGATCTGGAAATGCCCCACTGAAGTTATTTCCTGATAATTTCTGTGTGTTTTCCCTCCTTTTCCTGATGGATGGGTGAATTCTTGGCTGGCTGAGTTATTCCCTGGCTGCCTGGCCATTCTGTGATTTCTGGTGATGCCTTGTGCAGGCTGCCCTAGAACAGAGGCTGGATGAATTTAAAAAATAAAGCATGGATTTATTCAAAGCATCTCCTCCATGGATCCACCTTGGGCAGCACCAGAGCCCAGCCAGGGCTGCACCCAAGATCAACCAAAATGGCCCCAAAATGCACGAGCAGGCAGGGGGTCTGTCCCTGGGATCAGTTCTGCTCCATTTGCACCTTGCAGTTCATTGTCCCATTCCAGCTTTAGCCCAGGCAGTCCCACCCTGCTTGTTTTTCTCTCTTCAGTCCCCCTTGTCTATGTAGCCACATTTCTCTTCACAGAGGAAAGCAAGGCACAATTCTGCCCAAGAATATCTCTGAGACTCACTTTCTCTGAACCTCAGAGAAAGAAAACACAATTCTTATCATTTGCTGTGGCTGTGTTTGTGCCACAGCAGAATGCAATGTGGAGTTTGTTTACCCACAGTGATGGTGTTTTGGTTCCTTGGCCTGTCAGGGCCAGGTGTGTGTGCGTGTGTGTGTGTCAGGACTGAGGGGGACACACATGAGATTCTAGGCAGTGTGAGCAGATTCAGTTTAGATGTAATATAATATAGTGTAATATAGTATAGAATAATATAGTATAATAAAGTAATTAATTAGCCTTCTGATAAGATGGAGTCAGATGCATCATTTTCTCCCTGCCATGGTGATACAGCAACCTCTTGAGCTGGGTTTAATAAGCTCTCTGAGGCCTATAACACACCTAAGATAACTCAGCTGCTCTTGGAGGCATAAAAAATCAGCAGGATGTCTTCTGTTGCGGTGTTGAAAACAAAAAAAGTTTAATAAAAGGCAAAATAACAAACAGATAAAAACTGAGATAAGTGCCAACCATTCTTGCTCTTAGTAAAACCCCTCACAAAAGTGATTGGTTTCTTTGTTCACTCCTTTTTCTAGTTAATTGCCCAGGCAGGACTTTTTGGCTTTTGTCCAATTTGCTATCCTTAGTTTTGTGGTGAAGTCTCCTGGGCCTATGAGATGTCTCTTCACCTAATTGAGGAGAGAAACTTGTGGACTTCTTTCCTTTCTGGAGGGACAAAGGAGAGTTTTGTCACTCCATCAACAAGGGGCACACTCCTACACCACAGGGGTCGTCCTGTTTTGATATGTTTGTGCTCTTGGGGCTCTAAGGACTTGCAGGGTCCCTGTTGGTGGCAGCTTTAGTTTTGGAGAAATCCAGCAAAGTTTGCAAATTTAATGCATGGAATGTCGCAGTTAGCAACCACTCGCAGGGACATTGCGAGTCGCTGCTAACGGAGGCCATTTTCCATGGGAAAAAGAAGTCCTTTCCCCAGGGTCTGGGTGTCGGATTAAAGTTGATATTTGGGGCTCTAAAGACTTTCAGGGTCCTCATTGCTGGCAACTTTAGTTTTGAGGAATTCAGCAAAGTTTGCAAATTTCTCGCTTGGCATCCACAGTCGGTCAGGGCAGGTGGACACAGAGGCCATTTGACGTGGGAAAAAGAAGTCATTTCCCCAGAGTCTGGGGATCAGATTAAAGGTGGCCTTTGGGCCTCTAAGGACTTGCAGGGTCCTAGCTGCTGGCAGCTTTAGTTTTGGAGAATTCAGCAAAGTTTGCAAATTTAATGCATGGAATATCGCAGTCGGACATTGCGAGTGGCCACAACCAGAGACCATTTACCATGGGAAAAAGAAGTAATTTCCCCTGGGTCTGGGGATCAGATGAAAGGTGGCCTTTGGGGCTCTAAGGACTTGCAGGGTCCTAGCTGCTGCAGGCAGCTTTAGTTTAGGGCCTGAGATTTGGACCATTTGTCCTTGGTGCCCAGCTGGAGCAGGAATTGTTTTGTCTCCCTGCTCTGTGCACAGAGCTCACTGTCCCCTGATATGAAGCCCAAACCCACACACTAAAGCAGCACAGAATGTGAAAAATAGAAAAGCTCAAACGTGAGGCATCAGTGCTTTCCCTAATTCCATCTTTTCCCCAGGAAAAGCCTACGCCCCGGAGTTCTACTACGACACTTACAACCCGCTGTGGCAGAACCGGCCGCGGGTCTATTCCTACAGCCTGCAGTGGACGCAGATGAACCCCAGCGCCGTGGATCGGATCCTGGCCTATCGCCTGGGCATCCGCCAGGTGAGACGGGATCATGGGGGCGTTTGCATCTGGGGCCTCTGGGCTCTGGGAGAGCTGCTGGGCTGGTAGGGAACTCTGCTTTATTTTACTTTATTTTATTTTACTTTATTTTATTTTATTTTATTCCATTCCATTCCATTCCATTCCATTCCATTCCATTCCATGTTATTTTACATGAATTATTTTTTGTTTCATTTAATTTTATGTTATTTTATTTTGCTTCAATTTATTTTATTTTCCTTTTGAAATTTCATTTTATTTCATTTTACTTTTTTATTTTTTAATTTTATTTTATTCTACCTTTGTTTTATCTTATATTATTTCATTTTATTTTATATTATTTTATTTTTTCTTTATTCTATTTTTATCTTATTTTATTTAATTTAGGTTTATTTTATTTTTATTTTATATTTTTATTTTATTTTTATTTTTTGTATTTCATTGCATTTCATTTCACTTCATTTTAATTTTATTTTATTTTATTTTATTTTATTTTATTTTATTTTACTTCATTTTTTATTTAATTTAATTTTATTTTTCTTTATAAACTTCCTTTTATTTCATTTTACTTTCTATGTTTTTATATTTTTTTATTTTATTCTACTTTAAGTTTTATTTTACTTTATTCACCAGTCCATTTCCACAACCCATCCTCCTCTAAGTCATCCTTCTCCATTTGCCTCCTTCCTTGGGAGCATCCAGCTGATAATTTTCAGGAATTTTGCCAGCCTCCCACTGAGTTTTTCCTTCAAATAATCCCCCAACAGATTGATCCCAAAAATCTTTCTTTGGATATGCAGCACCTGGAAAAATAATTTGGGTGGGACATCCAGTGGAAGGATTCCAGTGGATTTTGCAGAGGGATATTCTGAAAAATATAAGGAAGAAAATCCTTTGTTATCCCACAGATTTCCCACTAGGATGAGCTGTGGAAAACAAATCCTCAATTTTAGTGTTTTGTTTACTGGGATTTGGGCATGGGTGACTTCCCTGGAAGTTGTGGAGTTCCTGAGACACGCCCAGGGAAGGGCTCTGGTGCCTGGTGGGACTGGAGCTGGGATCTTCCTGAATCCCAGAAACTTGAGATGAAATCAGGGATTGTTGGAACCCAGGACATCCCTCTGGCTGCCCTGGGGGACTCCAGACCCTGGCAGGGGCTCAGAGACCTTGGCACAGAGTCACAGACACCTGTGCCTTTGATTTTAGCCCATGGAAACAATTCCCAACTTTGTGTGAGGAGTTACAAGCCACAAGGGTTTGAGTAGAATGACAGAGAATTTGTCACAGGGTGAAAAAGTAGAATTTTGGGGTTTTTAGAATGGGGGTTGAAGAGGCAAGATGGAGGAATCTGGGCGTGTCTTGTCTTTCTTCTTCTTCTCCTTGCCCTCCATCCTCTGCTGTGATGGTGGCACTTCTGGATTGGTTTGGAGTAGAGACAGGCTGTCTAACATAGGTGATAGGTATTGGAAAATTATTGTAAATAAAGTACATGTAGTTTTTAGTATAAAAAGCCAACACTACCCCAAGGTGGTCAGTGTGCCACAACCCGACTGTCTCGGTTTGGAAAGCCAGGAGTCTGCCAAGGAAGGCAGGAGCCTCCCCTGAAATGGAGAAAATGAACCCTTCCCACCCCTCTGAATTGCTATAAATTTGAAATTAAGGGGCTCTCAGGCAAAAATATGGGAGCAGGAAATAACAGTTCTTTAATAGGGAAGAAAATCAAAGGATAAAATAAACAATGCAGTAACCAAACCAACACTGCCAGAGTCAGAACCCAGCCTGACACCCTGTGGGTCAGGCTGGTGGCAGCAGTCCCATTGGAATTGTGGCTCAGCCCTCCTGCAGTGTCAGGGCTGGTTCTGCTGGAGCAGGGATCCTGGAGAAGGGTGCAGTCTCTGCCTCTGAAGATCCAGGGGAAGGAGAGGCAGCTGCTGTTCCTCTGGGCAATCCAGTGGAGAAGCCGTGCTGGTGTTCCAGAATCTCCAGATTATATCCAGGTAGGAATGCTTGGCTCCTCCCTCTGGGCTCACATCTCCCAATGGGATGCTGTAGTTCTTATCAGCCATGCAGGGACATTCAATAGCTGTTATCAGCAGGTGTCTCCCCAGAGGGAGGAGTGAATGTGAAAGAGATAAGGAAAAACTGCCCACTTGACAAAAGACAACTGCCATACAGATGGTGATAGAACTCATCTTGCCTTGCAATCTGGAACACCCTCAGTGGGTTAGAGAAAAAATGATAGAGATAACAGCAAATAGACAACCTTGAGAACCAGAGACAAGGAATTCTGCCTTCTTCTTCAGTCTTGGGGCTGGGAAAAAGAGACTTTCCAACACCTCAGGGTCATCTCGACACCAGAGACCTCATCAAGGGATGTTTAATCTGTGTTTGTGCAACTCCTGGCACTGCTGGGCATGAATGAGCTCTGGGGGTCCCAGGCCCTGGGAGGAATCAGGAAATTCTGGAAGGAACTTGCTGCAGGAAAGAAATTTCTGATGGAATGAACTGCATTAGGAGTTATAGCTGCTTTTCCCATTCAATTTTGATTTCATTTGAATTATCTGTTTATGTAATTAACAGAGTTACTCTGTGTCAGACTAATCCAAATATTCCCATTTTTCCTCTCCAAAGCCCCATTTCTTTGGGAATTCTATCTCAGCCTCTCCTCACCCTCCCAGCCAGGAATTCCTTCCCCATATCCCACAAATCCTGGCTGAGTCACAGAACCTTGTGACACATTCCTGTCACATCCTGCTTCTCTGTTGTCACTGGAATTGAGAGAAATTCCTGTCCCCAAGAAAGATTCAGTGCTGGGAAAGCAGAATACAGGGAAAACCTCTGGCATTCCAAGCATTGGTTAAGGAGAATTAAAAAAAAAAAAAAAAAATCACAGATAATGTTATAAATATTATTTGATAAAATAATGAAGCTTGGCTTAATGACAAATCAGGGAAGCCAGGAGGGGAGGGAAAAGAAGTCACAAAGATAGGGAATTGTCACTTTTCCACTTATGGAACATGAATGGAAAAATGGGAAAGTGGGAACTGAGGTGCCCCAGGAGAAATGGATTTATTTACTATTCATTTTATTTCAGACCCCACCTGAAGAGCAGGAATTCTGCAGATTCCTTCTCTCAGGATCACGGGGATCACATCTGCTCCAAAGGGAAAGATGCTGCCAAGCTGGGAATTTCCAGCAAATCCATTGGATTTGCTCTAGGACATGAAAAATACCAAAAGTTTTCTTCAGAACTAGTCACAAAAATTACAATTCTAGCAATTAATTCAGTGAGGGAAGAGAGTTGGAACTCCACATTTTTATTGGCATATTCTTCATGTTGTTCCCATAAGGGATTTTAATTTTTCTCCTCCAAGGGAACATTTTATGTCCCAAAGATTTCCCTGCACGCATTGATTTTGGAAATCTAAAGAGGCTTTGGATTTTTTGTGGAATGAGGGAGAAAAAGTTTGCCAAAAAAAAAAAAAAAAGAGATTGTGACATGCAGGGACACGTTTTTCATTGATGTTCCTGGCATTGGGAAATTAAATTAGAACAGGAATGGTTGTGATTCCCAATTTCCACTTCTCAGGGCTGATTCTTCCTGTGCTGCTTCTTCACAGCTCTGAGGCTGCATTTGCAAACAGCAAGGTGAGGTTTGGACCAGGTCTGCTCCCGCCCACTTAAAACAGGTTCTAAGCTTCAGGTGGATCAGGGAAATATTTATGGATCATGCTGAAAATTAAATTTTTGCTGATTTTGACTTAAGGAGTTCAGAGCTGGGACTTGAACCTCCTGTGAGGAAAGGCTGGAAGAGCTGGGAATGTTCCCCTGGACAGGAGAAGGCTCCAGGCAGAGCTGGAGAGGGACTGGGGACAAGGGATGGAGGGACAGGAGCCAGGGAATGGCTCCCACTGCCAGAGGGCAGGGATGGATGGGAGATTGGGAATTGGGAATTCCTGGCTGGGCTGGAATTGCCAGAGCAGCTGTGGCTGCCCCTGGATCCCTGGCAGTGCCCAAGGCCAGGCTGGACATTGGGACAGTGGGAGGTGTCTCTGCCCATCCAGGATGGGATTTAAGGTCTCCTCAAATGTCCATGGGGAATATGCTGTAAAATTCCCATGTGACACCATCAGAATCCCAGGTCTGGATCCTAGAGCAGCTCAGGAGGTTCTAAGTCCACCTGCATGGAGCATTTATGGAAAAGGAGCTGGAAGGGGTCCACCAGGATCAAGTCCAAGTCTGGAGTTGTCTTTGGGAGCCTTTGGGCTCTGTGAGTTTCCTGCTGGGACCTCACTTCTTCTGCCACTGGCACACTGGGATTTGCTTTGGGATTCATTTGGTGGCCAAAGGAATCAGCCATAAAACTGGGACATGTGGCACTGTCAGGACATCTGCTCGGGATCCTAGAGCAGCTCAGGAGGTTCCAAATCCTCCTGAGTGGAGCATTGATGGAAAATGGAGTGTGGAGCACAGGGCATTTCCATTCCTCGGGGCACTGCTGAGCACAGCCCATCATCTGGAGCTGAAGGATGGAGACAACCTCGGTGTCCCATCAGGGGAACTGCCTGGATCGGGTCAGCCTCAGCTTCCTTGGGAATGTGCCAAGGTGTGCCAAGACATTCCTGCACAGAAGGGACATTTTTCCATCTCCTTAAGAGCCCTCTGAAGAATATTCCAACAGTAATGCATTTCATGGATGCATTTTTGCATTTCGATGATGCATTTTTTGATATGGCTTTGAAATCAGTGACCCAGGTTCATCCAGGTTTTTTTCCTTTTCCAAGCATCCCTGTGTGTATTCCCTGGCCAGCCTTTACACTCCAGAAATTGATTTTATTAAGTCTTCAATCATGGAATATTTAGGTTGGAAAAGCTCTCTCAGACCAGCAAATCCAATCCGCGTCCCCAAGTGCCACATCCACACTTCCAGGATGGCAACTCCAGCACTTCCCTGGGCTGAAGTTCCAAGAAAATGTTTTCCAAGCATGTAAAAAATGGTC